GACCTGAGCTTTTCTATTAAACAAATGGACTTAATAATAATTCTATGTTGGTAAATTTTTAATTATGCTTTCAATTTCACTGATTGTAATTGGAGTGTTTAGATTTTTTTTAATCTTCTAAATTCAACTTTGGTAATTCATAGGTATCTAAAAATCTGTCCTTTTCTTCTGTGTTTTCCATTTTATTAGAGTACAAGTTCCCAAAGTAGGTATTGATGAACCTCTGGATTTCTGCTGGATCTATTGTATCTTCACCTTTTTAATTGCTAATTGCATGGATCTGAGCCTTTTCTTTTCTTTTTGAGAAGGTTGGCCAATGGGTTATAGATTTTATTTATTCTTTCGAAAAACCAACTCTTTGATTCATTAATTTTTTTATATTGTTCTCTTAGTCTCCATTGCATTGATTTCTGCTCTGATCTTTATAATTTCCTCCCTTGTATGAGCTTTGGGTTTTTCTTTGTCTTCTTTTTCTAGAAGCTTAAGGTTAAGCATGAGGTTGTTTATTTGATCTCACTCTGTTTTCCTAGTGTGGGCATTTGAATTTTCCTGTTATTAATTTTCCACATAGAATTGCTTTCATTGTGTCCCATAGATTCTTGTATGTTGTATTGGTGTTATCATTTATTCATAAATACTGATTAATTTCTTCTTTAATTTCCTCTGTAACCCATTGATTGTTCAGGAGAGTGTTGTTCAATTTCCATGTGTTTGTTAAGTTCTTCAAGTTTCTTATGCTATTGCTCTCCAGTTTAATTGCACTATTGTCTGATAATAGACATGGGATTACTTCAATTCCTTTAATTCATTGAAACATGTTCTATGAGCTAGTATGTGGTGTATTTTGGAGAATGACCCATGTGCAGCTGAAAGGAATGTATATTCTGATATTGTGGAGTGGAACACTCTGTAGATGTCTATTAAGTCCATTTGTTTAAAAGCTTGGTACAGTTCTAGTATTTCCTTATTGAATTTTGTCTAGATGATCTGTCTATTTGTGACAGTGGAGTAATGAGGTCTGCCACTAAAATTGTATTAGTGTTTATTTGATTTTTCATGTCCCTTTATATTTGTTTTGTATAGTTGGGGCATTAATATTTGGTGCATATATATTTATGATTATCATCACTTCCTTTTGGATTGTTCCCTTTACAAGGTTGTAGTGACCTTATTTGACTTCTTCATTAGTTGTGGTTTGAAATTTACTTTGTCTGTGAATAAGATTGCTACCCCTGCTTTTTTCTTGGCTCGTGTCCCTCAGAGAGTTGTTTTCCATCCTTTTACTCTCAGTCCATGAGTTTCTTTTTGAACTATGTATCTTTCTTGTAATCAACATATTGTTGTATTTTGCTTATTTATCCATTGTGCAAGTCTATTTCTTTTGATTGGTGAATTGAGGCCATTAACATTGAGGGTTATAACTGATATGTATTGACTTATCATTGTCATGTTATTGTCCCATTGTTGGCTCTTTTTAATTTTTCTCCCTCTCCCTTTAGTTTCTTGCCTTGCCTAATTAATTGATTTGTTCTTTGAGGCCTCATGGTTTTGTGATCTTCATTGTCTTTTTCTAGTATATTGTTTAGAATTGTTTGGAGTTCCTGTTTGGTATTCATGAAATTTCTCCAGTGTCATGGAAATATCTTTTTCCCCATCCAATTTCAAAGATAGTTTTGCAGGATACATCAGTCTAGGTTGGAAGTTGTTTTCTTTTAGGGCTTGAAATACCTTACTCCATGCTCTTCTTGATCTCTGGGTTTGTGTTGAAAAGTCTGCTATGATTCTAATGGACTTTCCTTTGCATGTGATTTGTTTCTTTTCTCTAACAGCCTTCAGTATTTTGTTCTTCTTTTGGGTTTCTGGGATCTTGACTCTCGAATCTTATATGTCTAGGTATAGATTTTTTTTTAGTCATGGCTGGTTGGAGTCCTGTATGCCTCACTTATCTGTATACCAAATTATTTCCCTCTTTTGGGAAGTTTTCTGTCATTAATTCTGTGAACAGATTTTTTTATGTCATTTGTACTTTCTCCTACTATTTGATGGAGTCCTATCAGTGTTATTCTTCTTTACATCATCTAGGAGTTGTTGGATCAATTTCTCATGATCCCTTTCTGTTTTTAAGAGATCTCTCTTTTCATGGTCACTGACTTCAATCTTATCTTCTACATCTGAAATTCTGTCTTCACATTGGTTCATTCTGTTATGAATGCTTTCTATAGAGTTCTTTCTAAAGTGATGTTCAATTTTATTTATTTTTTAATTTAGTTTATTGGTACATTTTAGGTATACAGTACAGTTATAGTCATTACTGGGATCTTGTACCTTTACATGACAGGTCTTGGTTCTCATTTTTTTCTCCTTGTCCCTGCCCTCCCTAGAGTTTTTAATCTGTATTTCTGTTTGAATCCATTTCATGGATTGCATTTCTTTCCTGTATAGGCATCCATGGTTTCCATTTCTTTCCTATGCTGAGCATTCATGGCTTCTGTTATTGTCCTGAACTCATCTAGTTTTTCTCTTCTAGAGTCTCTAATCATGCATTTCATTGTGCTCACCATCTCTGTTGTTATTTAGGAAATTATTTCCATTTTAAATTTTTCTAGAGCCTGTTTCATCTGTTTTGTTACATCCTGTTCCATGTGTTTAGGGAGTCCTGGTCATTGGCTGTCAGACTTTTTCACCTTTTTTCCCGTAGAATTTTGTCATTGGTGAGCTGGAAATCTGTATTTGTGCCTTGCTTAAGTGTTTTCTCATTTTTATTTTTGTTGTTGGTACTGTCCTTGGTTTAATTTCTGGGCTAGTATTTTGATCTTCCTGACATAGCTACCCTTCAGGTTTTGAGTCTCTATAACTCAAACATACTTATTTTCATATCAGGAAGGACAATTGATTAAATCAATCACAATCCTTTAGCATAATTGATACAAATCAACAACACAATAGCATGAAACACAGCTTAGAAATTGGCAATTTGTGATAGTTATTAATTTATCACCTTTAACCATGCAAATTAAATCAAAATCAAGATCCAGCCCAAAATATGTTTATGGTGAATAAACTCTTCAATATAGCAACTTTATCCTTCAGGATTGGGACTTAGAAGGAGTCAGGAGGGGAGGCATAGATAGGTATGATAGGAGAAGATTTCAAGTGGAGCCAGTGGACACAAGATGATTATATAAACTCTTGGAATCCATTTAAGACAAGAGGGAAAGACAGAGTGCAAGAACAAAGACCAGAATAGAACAACGTAACAGTAATAGGGAAGCTATAAATTTTACTCAGTTTCCTTTGAAACTAATGACAATTGAAAGAAGGAAAAAGAAAGAAGAAAAAAAGAAAGAAGAAATCCAAATTGGGGCAGGAATGGGATCAAAATGGGAGATGAAAAATGTGGAGTTGTAAGAGAGTGGATTGCAAAAAGAAGAAAGAAAAAAGGAAGAATTTGAAGAGTGGGAAAATTTTTAAGAAATGAAAATGAAAAATAAGGGGAAAAGAAAGAAATAAAAATTTGGAGGGCCTCCTTCAGTGTATATCTCTGCTGTCACAGTAGACAATGTGGGCAGCAGTGTTCATAACTAAGTCAATTAATTTTAGAAAGCCAACATCAGGTCCCTGAGATTCAGGCTGAATTCTGTCTGCAAGGCCCAAGTTAAGCTCCCTGACCTCCTGAAGACACCCTTTGCAAGGTTCTATGGCAGGTTCCAGTTGCTCTTTTCCTGAAGATAGTCCAGCTTCTGATGGAAGGTGGTGATCCCTTCAACTTACAAACTGCAGAGGTCTGCTGTGCCTTTATTACAGTTATTCACTTCTTTCTTCTGGATCTCAGTACAATAGCCTTTATGACCATCTATGCCTCTGCAGTGTGAATCCAGGTATCAGCATAACCAGGAGGCCTGAGAGCACAGTGAAGGCTGGAGCTGCAGGGGCACCCATGTGGCTGGCAGTCCTCACTGGTGTGCTCTGATGAATGCCTGGGGTGCTGGAGGGTGGGGAAGCAGCCTAAACCCCACATTGGATGTGAAGTCCTCACCAGTCTCAGGGGTAGTTGTATTACATAAATTTATCACCCGTAGACATTGTTTTTGACCTTGGCTTGGGGAAAATCAGTCTAAAAGAGAAGTAATACATCTACTCTGCTCATATAGTGTCATTGCCTAAGTTGGGGAGAGATGATAGTATATGGTATAGCTCCTAAATTTGCTATTACTGTTCTTTCCAGATACTACATAGTATGGCAGAATTGTTATTGTTGTTTTTTTCATTTCTTACAAATTTGATGGTGATTTTTGCTCTTAATTTTATTTTGAGGTACTAACTGAGTTCACTAATAGTTCTTTCCCTCTCTATTAAAATCTCCCACGCTGTTTCTTTTAAATATTGGCCAATTTTCCATAATAAGTACTTTCATTACTACTCAGGATGGGAGTGAAAAGATGGATTTTAGAAATAGGCATGGATTTTGAGAGACTCAGATATTTAATATTTAAACAACACATCTCATATTTAAAAAATACTATCTATCAGGTTTTATACTAAGATCAATCTTAATATAGCTATGAAGCATGTGCTAATCTTAGTTTACTTTTGCTTTTCGGAGATTTGACTACTCTATAAACCAGGCTATATTGCTCCAGAGCTTGTCTTAGATGATCTTATGGTAATCTATCTTTTAACAAGCTATAATTCTAGGCACAAAACTCATGAAATGTTTGAATGAAAGCTTCCTAAGAAGTCAACATCCTGATATTGCCATTTTTGAAATCGAAACTGAAGCCAATACAAAATACAGAGGAATTACTTTTGGATGTAGAAAACCTAGTCCAGGACAGAGAAGCTTTTTTTTTTTTTATGAAGTCTGAAAACAGAATAAAGATGCATTTAATGAATTTGATTCTTCTGATGATGCACTCAGTTTATAAATCTCAGGGTTACTCCTCTGTTCACACAGACAGTATCTGGAGATGTTAACATTTTGTCATTTGGCTTCTAGGTGCCCTGGACATGTGGCTGCCCTCTAGAATCTGATTCATTTCCAATCTGTACTAGGATACCAGAGATGATTGACTCCTTATGTCCTGGTCCTAGGAAAAAAATGTAAGTATACTGAAATATTGAGGCTGATTTTATTGTGGTCAAGGGTCTTCTAAAATGATTTTATAACTGTTAGTGTATGAGAATAAACTTCCTGTAGTTCTAGACTCAGGAGTAGAGGGTAAAGGTAAAATTTAGTAAAATTAGAAAATATTCTTGGAATTTTTTTGTGTCTGGGCTCACTCCTGGCTCCCATAATAAGCTTTGATGTACATGATTCCAAGGTAAAAATTCATTGAATTAAAATCAATGAAGAGAAAAGATTCCTTTTCAGTGTAGTTATTAGCTAGGTGAAATATTAAAAATTGATAGATCAAATATTTATTTATGAATAAAACTTTCCCATTATAGACTAACATCTTTTTTATTTGATTTTTTTAAAAGAAGTTAATATATGAAGGATCTCTCCTCTCTGTCTTTAGGTCACGTTACTGCTATAACATAAAAAGAAGGTCAGAACTTTGGAAAGCTTGATAAGCTAGTGGTTACATGCACATGTTAGACACTGTAATGGCCTTAGGAAATAAATTTTGGAATATATATATATATATATATATA